GAAGTAAAGCAGGGAATATCTGAAACAGCTCCTGACAGAGAGGTAGGAAAGAATATTCATTTTGGGGGAGTTAGAATTTTGCCTTTATATTTCTTGTAAATAATTAAATGGATTGTTAAGACTAGAAATCTCCTAATTGTGCAAAGATGTACATCACAGTACCTCAAATGATTTTACAAGAAGAGTGCTCTCTTTCCTGCTAAGTGAATTTTGCAGATCATGTCTTTTAAAGGTTTGCCAATGCACCTAAAAGCAGAGCTGGGTTTAGGCCCTAGACTCTGGTGCCTAAATTAATATTTAATAACTATCAACTAATATTTAATAACTATCTGTTGCCACAGAAGCCAACGCTGTCAAGTCCATAACAACTACAAATCTATTTTCTTTTCTAAAACAGAAAAAAGATAAAGAAAATGGTGTAAAGAGAGAACTTTGCAAAAGCAGCAAATGGTGTTGCAAAAGCAAATTCTCACTTGCTAATCAGGATTAGGAAAAATGCCTGAGTTCTGTATCATTGTTGTGAGCTATCAGCAGCACCTGTGCTTTGGTAGCAAAATAAAAGTTTACTGTTATCTAAGACAAAAACGTTGAGGGGGGGAAGGCAGTCCTTGAGGCAATAATATGAAATCCCCTTTTGTTTCCTGGATAGCGATTACAGTAAAATACTTTGCTTATGTTTCCATTCCTTAGACCATCTGTTTCAAATTAAACCCTTCTGGCATGATACATCATTATTTATTAGAGCGTTACATTAGATAATGCAGTGTTAGTACTGCTGTTATAAACCCTTAGTTTCATGAGTATGACTTCAGGGGCAGAACTGGATGTGTTTACTTAATGAAAGGGCTAGAGACTGTGTTAATAAAACTAGTTTACCAGTTCAGAAATTACTTTTTTTTTTTAGGTCTTTCCTTTCACAATTTTTGGTGTGTCTTTTGATTTGTAACTCTGAATGTTTGTGTTTGGCAGAGTGAAACCTTCTGGTTTTAAATGACTGAAAGCTAAGATACTGAGAAGGACTCGTTGGTAATAAACTGTTAGACACCTAAAGCTGAAAACACAATACCCTGTACATGACGGGGTGACATCCGTTTTCATAAATCTGCAATGCCCTGTAGCATTCAAGGCACACACCCATGTGATTTGAGAGCAGCTGAAGATCTGGCAGGTAACACCCCCCACCCCTGAAGAAGTTTTCTAGAAGTTTCTATTCTTGCCCCCTGTAGCAACTCTTTTCGCATGCTTTCCGTCAGAGGCAAGGCTTCATAACACCAGTACGCGGAAGACAGACTTTTATCCTAGAGCTATCCTGTCATTGCAGTCTTAACCATTTTGGGACAATTTAAGAAGTACAAGAGCTTGCAAGAAGATTTTTTTTTTTAATTCTCAGTGTTAATGAGACTTTAGTCACAGTGTACTAAAGAGGCTTACTCCTTACTAAAGGAGTAAGGCAAGAGATTCAGTCACAGGAAAGAAGCAGTTCCTTACAGCTGTATTTGAGATACTTCAGTTTACCAGTGATACCCAGTGTTACTAAAAAAATTTCTTTCAATCTACTTCTGTTAGAAAGACGGTGACTGTGAGTGTAAAATTAAGAAATGGATTAATCTTTCGTGATATAAAGACCTTCTGTGCTCTAGATAGGTGAAGCCTAGTTTTAAATATGCTTATAGAGAGTGTGTCTGAGGAAGAGGACAAGTCTTTCATCCTAAATAAGCTTCTCTCTCATTTTTTTCTGGTCAAAAGAGATCTGAAGGATCCTCTAGTGAGTGATTCACAACACCTAGATTAAATTCAAGATCTGAATCACTGCTAGCATATATATATGTAGACTTTCTTTCATGCCAAAATCTCCCTAAATTTTGTGCTGTACTTAACCAACACAGTACTTGCGTGGTTGTGCTTATCCTTCAGTGATGCGGTCAGATATGGTCAGGAAGCCAGTATCTGCTTCAAAATCTTTTATTTTTTTAACTGGTCAAGTCATACAAACCAAAGTTGCTTAAAAGCAGTATTCTCTCTTGCTCTACAAAACAAATGTATTAAGTGAGCTTAAGTAGCATCATTTTATAACCCAAAAGTTTAAACTAGTGTATCATTTAAATTTCGCTGCGTCTGAAGCATGCCAGGATGACATCAATATTTCATTTAAGAAGGCCAGCAGTAAGTCCACAGTATATGTCTGAATACATTTGGATCAAATGACATAATGTTTCCTTTTTCTCTCTCTCTCTTTGTCTCTTTTGAGAATAAATTTACAGGTTTTTTTTACATTGGGAAAGTGATGCATGGTGAGTAAATGCGCTTGGGAAAAGGCTTTTCAAAACCACATTTTCCTCATTTCAAATGTCCTTTTATTACTCTGATTGTTTTGTTTAAAAAAAAATGCCTGAAAGTTCATAAATTTTGCTTGCCAATTGTAGGCTAGAGACCTGCCTTTGCTCTCCCTGTAGCTAATGATAAAACATCCAAACACCGACTCATCGTTGTAGTGATCCAGGTCCCATACAGAAAACAGAAGTTCCTCGTATTCCTCGTGTAGTGAAGTTAACCCGGAGGGCTGCCGTTGCTCCTCCTGTTGCCACAAGGTTTTTCTGCCTGCCAGGGGAAAGCAACACCGTCTGTCAGGCCACATCTGCACTGACTTTTCTGCCAGCCATACTGGCTTTCTGACTTCTGTTTTGCTTTGTTCTGGTCACAACATAGTTAAGAGGCCACCCTAACCTTGGGCACCTTGCTTGAAGTCATCTCTGCCTCTAGCCACAGAAATGGGATAACCCCCTGGGAATCATCCCCGAGTGTTGGTCCTATGGCATCAGCAGCACTGTTTTAGCTAACAGATTAATGCCATTAGTGGGTACCACCAGTAGGTTGTTATCCTCTTAGATGGATTTTCCGCTCACAGATGAAATACAGTACAATAAAACCGGATTAGAATAATAGCAATATGGATATATATAAAAAGCAAAGATCAAGAAGTTAAGCAGTTATTAATGTAACGCAGGACTGTATATTCAAGCTAGTGGTAACTTTCAACAAATTATTTTTAGAGATTTTTTTTTTAACCTAATTGAATTGCAAGTTTTACAAAACGGTAAACATAATCTAATTAACAATAACATTTTTGGACTTACTGAGTAAAATCTAAAATAATCTCAAAAGACTTTTGCACATAAATTGTGCAAGTCCATTAGTACCTAAACCAAGCAAAAATAAACTGCAGAATGTGAGCACATGCACAGGAGATTTCTGATGGTGAAGTGTTACCACAGAAGAATGACATCCAAAATGCAGCACTGAGGCAAACAATCAATATTATCCATTTTCATTTTCTAGCACAATGAGTTTGCCCAGATGCTCAGCAATACATTTTTGCCGAGGAAACAATTTTGATTATTGCTTACCAACAGTCTCAAACTTTTCTGGCAGTGAGCTGAGTTCAGCCCTGGTGTAAGTTGGTGCCACTGTCGTGCACTTGGGAAACTTGCCTGTGTTTATGCTGGGATTTTGACCTCAAGTGTCAGATTATTTGTGCAATCGATGCACCTTTAAGCACTGAAATTTCAAAGCGAACCATATGATTTTAGAATTCAGTTCAAGCAATTGAGAGATTTATTGGGAATTGCACTATTTGTCCCGTCCAGCTTCGGCTGTCCCCAAGTGAGTGATGGTATCTGGTGCAGTTTTTTCCTTCTTTTGTGAGTTGTTGGAGGTCAAATATGGCAACTGGGATTGTGGGCAGGTGGGACAGTTAATGGAGAATGAGTGTTACGAGGGATAAAAGAGAAAAGGCATTACGGGGGGAAAAGATTTAGAAGTCATTTGCAGGAAGCTAGGAGACTGAGAACTGGGGAAAAAGAATTGTGCTATTTATGAGGAACTGGATGTGAAGTTTTGAAAAGAAACTTTTTCCTTCTGGGCTCTTAAAAAGAAAGAACATAGTATAAATACAGTATAAATACACACACCTGCCCTCTATGGTAAGGGCTAATACTTCCAAGATAATCAAAATTATAAAGCTATATGAGAAGAAACAGAAAGCCGAGTACCTTAAATATAGAGAATGAGGCAGGCAAGAAGGGTAAAGGAGGGGAAAAAGCCATCTAGTCTGCAGCAAATTTTCATCAGGGTCTCCGATTCACTTGTTTGACCCCCGGGGGCCGGCCACTCTTGATCTGTAAAATGTCCTAGAGCCGAAGGACCTGTCACAGTCAGGTCTACTCCTCCGTCTGCACCACGTATGTGTGAGACAGAGACACAAAGCGGTGGACGGGGGAAAGACACTCAGCTGGGAAAGCTGGAAGGTGGTTTAACTTCTTCGGCAGAAAGGCCATTTTCTTTTGGGCAGGCACAGCGTCCTCGTAGTTCTGCTGTACGTCCCGCAGGACGGAGGAGCCTGTGGGCACCGTGACTAAGCAGAACAGGTCCCTGCGTGCTTGGGGGAGGGAACAGACTGTATTTTCAGTTGGTCGGGGGTCACTCACACTGACTGAAATCTGGCTGTTGGCTGCTGGCTTATTAGTGGAATAACACGAATAGTGCAATTTGTAGTGTGGGGAATGTGGATATGGAGGCGAGGCTTGAACAGGTGGACAGGAATGATAAGAATGCATAAATAAATATGCAAAGGCTGAATAATGGGATCTGTAAAATCTGCCAGCATCCCAAGATCCACGTTCAGTAGCACTTCTGTCACCATATGCAAACTGCTGAATTGAACGGGTAGAAATCAGTGCTGAATTTTGGATGTCAGCTCAGAAAAAAGGGGCTCTGCCCTGTTCTGCTGCTCTTTCCCCAAGGCTTCTGTTGTGAAATTAAGACAGTACCATTGCTGATCTACAGATAATTAACGTTCCAGTTCGACCACATAGTTTCTTCCGCGCAACGCAATGCTGGTGGAGCTAAACTGAGATCTTGCTTCTGAAAGAAGTCTCCTTGTGACGCGCGGAGCAGTGTTCAAGGGGACGCAACGCTGCTCCTTGTACGAGGTGGGGACGGGAATGCCCAGCCCCGGCGTAAGCCCGCTCAGCTCCGCTCGGACCCGCTGGCTGGTGACCGCTCGGACCCGCTGGCTGGTAACCACTTGTGTTTCCCAAAACCCAAGTTCCGGGTGTTTCCCAAAACCCAGGTTCCGGGTTTCCAATGCCAGGAACCCAATGCTGACTGTACGAGACCGATTCCTACGTAAGTCAGCTCAGGGCTTGTCACTGAACACGATGCACGCTTTACCCACGGGAGTTGCAACCTCCCGTTCATGCCGGGGAGCGCTCAGACTGGCACCTGCACTGGGTGGTTAAAACCGGGCAGGGCTGGAGGTGACCTCCCTGCCCAGCCCCCAGCGGGCTCCCCGTGACCCGGCTGGGGCAGAAGCCGCCTTTCGACTGGCCAGGCCGGGTCGGCCCCCCCCGCCCGCTGCCCCGGGCTCCC